CCGATATCTTTCAAATATCTATCAGAGGCTGGAATAGAGGCGTGTGTTTCGGACTAGTTTAAAGGGTACGCCGATTTTAGACTACAAATATCATTGTTGTCTAATTTGGTGAATTTATTGTACCAGTTTTCGGTAATCAGACCTCTTCGATTTAAAAACAAAAACAAAGCAAGCAAAATTTGATTTTTCTAACATTTGTGATTAATATCTTTATCTTTTCTTTCTGTTTCAGGCCGATTCCAATGTACCAACGACCTCCCTTATTGGACTCTTTATCATGTCGAGTACCAGCAGGACTCATCGGAGGACCGCCGCCATCTTGGAAACTATCCGAACAAGAACGAGTAGCTTCTAAAACGATGTCATCACTAACTTTGCCATACAGTTTAACTCTTTTGGACCACGTCAGACGACAGCATGCGAATGCACATTCTTTTGTGGCCGGATTACCACCAAAGGCACCGATAACTCCGCTACCACTTGCACCATTACCAAATCAAGAACGACAACTCCCGATAAGAACACCCTGTGAACCTATCAACACAACTCCTACGTCAAGTGTAGCAGAAAAAGTTGCTCGAGTGGACACGATTGCGAATCTAGTACGACCGTTAAACGACCCTTACTCTTCACAATACGGTTACGGACGGAAGGTGTTTCCATGCTCGCAATGTAGATACACTACGGACAGACGCAACAATCTCAAACGTCACATGTTAACGATGCATCAAGCGAGTTCGAAACTTTTAGAATGTTGTGGGATCTTGTTCACCACGAAGGCGTCGTTAAGAGAACACGCGATGATCTTCCATTACCATGGATACACGTGTTTTTACTGTGGTCGAAGATTCTGTCGAAAGGCGTTATTGAAGCGCCATCTATCGGTTCACAACGGACAAAAAGATTTCGTTTGCACTGTCTGTGATTACGCTACAAGTCATAAAAGTAATTTAGAAAGACATAGAAAGGTTCATTCTCGCCAGGATGACGGCGAGGAATCACATTCTTCTCCCATATACGAGGAGAACAAAGCATGTGACGCCAATATGGCGGATAGCAGTGATGAATTGTCCATATGTTCAGACGATGAAGAAATTAATGTGCACATTGATTAGGCTTGTGTTTTATGTCATCAATATCTGTGTTACTAAGTGCAAAACGTCACAGAGGGTGATTTTCAATATGAAGAAAAATGAATAACTAAGATATTCACATATTTGGAAATATGAACTTAACTTTTATGGACCCATCTAATTCCCGGTGTCCCTATGTCCGTACCCTCTCTTCGCCAGGGACCCATCCCATCGGTTAGAGAATACATGCGAGCCGAACCTTTGAGACTCCCCTCTTGAAGAGTGCACCTCTGCTGTGCTATTGTCAGCTCCTCGGTTTTTGTCAGCTCTTCGACACTCCTGAATTGTGATTTTGATGGACATATATCGGGTTCTCTTTGTGATTTGAGCTTTTTTGTGTCTCAAAAAGCCAAAATGAAGCTTAAATGTAAAGCTTAATTCGCCATAATTTGAAATTATATCTTCATTCTTGCCAATGAATATTTATTTATTCCTAATGTCAAATTTAATATATGAATGTATATGTGAGAAAAATTGTAAATTTTGTTATTGAAGACGAGAATTTTCTATTTTATTATGCTAAGCTCATCCCATACTAACACGTTATTTCTTAGATAGTTTCATAACGTCACGTTTGTTTCTTAAATAGTTTCATAACGTCACGCTATTCTTGAATAGTTTCATAACGTCACACAATTTATGAAATGGATTTATAACGTCACGCTATTCTAAAATAGTTCCATAATGTCAAGCCTTTTTTGAATTTGCAACAGTATAGCGACATGTGTGAAACGACGTGCTATACTATCTCAACCATTGTGTCGAAATCACCAAACTATTTCTTGCTTCAAATAAAGACAAAATGTATTCCCGTGTAAAATATTGTTAAATTTATCTTTGTTATTTTCGTTGTCTTGTTGTCTGTATTTTGTCCTGAAAATGAAAAATTATGAAATATTAAACGTCGACTTGTGATTTTCACTTTCCATGTCAACTGCGCGCTCCAAACCTGACTCTACGATGTCGCCCTCACAAACTACAGTAGGCCAAACACATGCGAATTGTCCGACATCCGTTAGTGGCCAGCAGGTTCCTATGTTTCTTATACCAGGATGACCTAGTGCCAATCAGGTCCCATCGTTAGTTGGGTTTTGGTATTTTATTACGTACTAATTCCACGGCAGTACATGGCGCCAACATTGCATACCCTTGCTTCAGGATCATTTCTATTGGATGGATCTTGTCCAAACCTCTTGATCAGAGAGACTAGAAAATAATGAATGGAGCATTTCTGAGTGTAGTGTAGCGTCGATTGTCGAGATATTTTTTTGTATTTACAATATATGCGACGGTTTCGAATGCACAGAATTTCAGTATTTGAGGTACGATTTGGTTTTAAAAATATTGCAGACAGTTACGAATGCACTGGCTGTTTCAAGGTACTTTAGCGACATTTGAACCAGCTTTTAGTTAAAAGGATGCGAGATATTTTTTGGATTTACAATATTCAAAGATGCAGTTTTTGTGGTTACGATATTTTGGACAGTTGCACTGCATTATCTGAGGTATTTTCAGACTTCTGACAGCTTCGACTTCACGAAATTGCAATATTCGAGACATTTTTCGTGTTTACGATATTTGAGACTGTTTCGAATGTGATATCCATTTGTTTCGTTCATGTAAAAAGACACCGAATCTTAACTCTAACAAAACAAGAGGTATTAAGGCGACGTTTAATGTTTGTTTTCATTTAATTAGCGGACAAGAGTGGAGTGTTTAGGACTTGTCAAACACACTGATTAGACTGTTTAGGCCGATAAATACCCCGGGATTATTTGATACCTTGATTGAGTGTCCAAATAAACATTCAGCTTGCCTACTGTCTTTGACGACCCGTCATACTAACTAGACCGCGCCAGTTGTAACTCACTGGACGATTCTGACTGTCTGGGGGTTGGGCGTAGTATTGAAGCTTTCCTACTGTCTATGACGACCCGTCATACTAACTAGACCATGTCAGTTGAAACTCACTGGGCGATTCTGACTATCAGGAGGCTGGGTGTTGTATTGAAGCTTCCCTACTGTCTTTGACGACCCGTCATACTAACTAGACCGCGCCAGTTGTAACTCACTGGACGATTCTGACTGTCTGGAGTTTGGGCGTAGTATTGAAGCTTTCCTACTGTCTATGACGACCCGTTATACTAACTAGACTATGTCAGTTGAAACTCACTGGACGATTCTGACTATCAGGAGGCTGGGTGTTGTATTGAAGCTTTCCTACTATCTTTGACGACTCGTCAGACTTACTAGACCGTTCCAGTTGAAACTTACTGGACGATTCTGACTATCAGGAGGTTGGGCGTAGTGTTGAAGCTTCCCTACTGTCTTTCACGACCCGTTATATGCATGGCATGACATGGCATGGCGCTCCCGAGGAACTGTCGCATATTGAATCGCAACTTAGATTCCGATTAAGGGGAAATAACTCTATTTTATGTAAATGTAGATGTAGTCCGTGTTATTTTTTAGAAATCCTCTTTCTCCCTCCCTTTTCGAGTTTTTGTATGCTTATCTTTGGCTAATTTCTGGTATGGATTTGGAATTTGATGTCTGAAATTGCATTACAAACTTCCATGGTACAAGAAAGGTAACTTTTTCAGTTAAGGTATCAGACGAAGTTCGTAATAGCTTGATATTAGCTTTCATTTCATTGCAAATATAAAATTTTTATACATCTTTCATTGTTATCTACTAAGGCCCATCGGCTCTAGTTCAGTGGACACAGGAATTTCGTTCATTACTGAACAAGCTTTACGGAAACTGCCGGGATTTGCCGAATAATTTGTTGTGTTTGAGCCTGTTTGAAAGTAGAACAATATTCTAAGGTAGCCTTGGTGCGATTGAAAGGAAATGATAGTACAATTCTTTGTTCATATACGAATAAGCTATATGCCTTGTTGAAGTTCTGTCGTATCAATAAAAAGGACTTTTCGATTAAATCACGTTTCGCATTCTACAGTTTATTTAGTGAACAATGAATGCAAATTCGCAATGCCATGCGGTGTGCAATGAGGGAAATTTAAGATTCTCTGCGAAATTTTGTAAAATGAAACGTCTTGTGTCCCTTGTTTGGATATGAAAACCTTTTGGACTATGATGGAATGAAGAATGGAAACGCCACGCGATTTACAATGAGGAAAATTTCTATTCATGTGTACACACAAGTTGGGGTAGTTGCAGGTGTACCCGATTGTTGAAGTTTTTAATTAAACTGTTCTTGGCAGTGATATTGTCTTTATTGATGAAGAAAATCAATTTTCCTAAACCTTCCTTTGATTATAGAGTCCGGAATCGTAGCGCATTCGTCCGTGTTTATCCGGATATCAAACGCAACGTAGATAAAACCTTACAGATTTTACTGTGGACTCAATGGTTTGGACATAAAACGTGGGGCACTTACATTGGTAATAGGGCGTTCCTAAAATGCCCGGTTTCGAATTGTGAACTCAGACATAACAAGTCGGACCTAAAGTCAGCAGACGTCGTTTTGTTTCACCACAACAACCTAATAAATATTCACGTTCCTTGTTCGATAGTCCGAACTTCCGGTTTATCGACGCAGTGATCAAGTGTGGATTCTACTCAGTCAAGATCCGTACAGCAAGAATTGCCACAACGACGCCAGATTCAACGGCGTTTTTAATTGGACAGCGACGTACAGAAGAGATTCTGATATTTACCTTCCTTATGGAAGAGTTATCGAGCGCGAAACGGAGTATAACGTGGGAGATGTGTCGTCAACAAAAACCGCGGGAATTGCATGGATGGCGGGAAATTGTGTCGATGACAGTACATTCGGGTAGATAGGTATGGATTCTGCATGCGGATTTTGTGTAGATTATATCACGGAAAAGTTTTTTAGACGTCTGATGCATCAGGTGCTGCCGATCGTTTTAGGGGGTGGGGATTATTCTAAACTTGCCCCGCCCCATTCCTATATCGACGTCAGAGACTTGGTTAATTATCCCTTCAGCCCTTACAGATATACATATGAAGTCATTAACTAAAATTGAGCTCTATCAGCTGGTAAAGTAAATGTTAAGACGACTATGCAGATAGCTGATATTGAGCTCTATCAGCTGGTAAAGTAAATGTTAAGACGACTATACAGATAGCTGAAATCGAGCTCTATCAGTCGGTGAAGTAAATTTTTAGACGAATAAACAGATATCTGAAATTGAGCTCTATCAGCTGGTAAAGTTCATCCCCCAAACTTTCTTCGACTATCTCAGTTGATTTCCGTAACGTTCTTCGACTAGCTCCGTTGATTCCCGTAGCTTTCATTGGCTATCTTTAATTTTCGTAAACGTCCTCGGCTATCTACGTTAATCCCCGTAACTGTTTTCCTCTATCTCCGCCAATCTCTGTGACTCTTTTCGGCTACCTCCGTTAATCTCCGTAACTTTTCGGCTATCTCTGTATAACGCTCGTGGACCATGTTGACATTGCCTCGAGGCTGATCTTAAGTCTTGATTATCATATTGATACCTAAAATCGAACAATAGGACTTTATATCAGATCAGATTTGACGTTAAGAAGGATCGGGGATCGATGATTTTCTAGGAAACGTTGGATATGTGCGCATTGTCTTTGTAATTGTAACGGAATTACTGTGGGATAGGTCGTTGTGTTTTTACTAATGAAAAAACATCCGTATAACCTATTTACGTCATTTGAACGATTTTTTGGGGATTATTCGAGTCTTTAGGGCTTTTTTTTTATTATCATTTGGCTTGGACATTTATGAATTTTCACTCAAAAGCGAAAGAATAGGTAAGTACATTTCTGTTTGATTCTTCTTATGTTCTAGAGTTATCTAATCAAACGCTTTTTGAATGATTTTAAATATTAAGTAAGGACTATGCCAACATTTAAGTAATAATTTAGGCAGAGCTCTTATCTTATAACCGCACAAATGAACGCAAAAAGCGTTTTTGAATTAATAGAGTTGAAATTAACTATAAAAAATGTCTGTTGATAAGAAAATTGGAAAGGATAAAAGACATGAACGGTTAGTTAAAGGGATTGTAAAGAGGTTTTCTAAATTTTGTATGTGTATCTGGGACACCGATAGCATCAATTTGTACCATTCCATATTTTGATGGTGAGCTGTGAACACTATTACTGATTATTTAAGCTTAAAACATTTCCGTTTCTGAGACTAAGGTACGATCGGTAAAACATTTGACGCACCTATCCCTTTAAAGACGAAATGATGTTTTCTCCTTTTGGACGGATTATCAATTTTACTTATTTTTCTCAGATTAAAGGACGATGCTGGAATATTTGGTGATAATGTTTGCAGTCGGAGTCGGAGAGGTGTCCGGCCACGGACGGATGATAGAACCTCCGTCAAGGGCCTCCATGTTCCGGTTTGGATACAACAACCCTCCGGATTATAACGACAATGAACTAAATTGCGGCGGATTTGCGGTAAGAAATCTAGATGAAATATTTACGCCCTGAGAGCAAAAGAAGATAACGGACGTTCGGCAATCATTGACAGTTTCCGTTAAGCTGAATCCAAATTGCATTTGATTTTTGAAATATTGAAATGGAAACGAAACGAAATGGAGTTTTACATTTTTAGATGACGGGCAGCCTTGCGCAAATGACAAATTTTCAACATGGACGAAATTCAGTCCATTTTATTGTATATCAAAGGAATACATTCGGAATTATTGTTTCGTTTCAGGTACAGCAAGAATTGGGCGGCAAATGCGGAATTTGTGGAAATCCGTTTAATGGTACACGGCATCACGAAGCAGGCGGACGATACGCTAACGGCATCATCAGCGGAAGTTACGTTTCTGGACAGGTCATCCGGGTATCGATACAAATTACAGCCAACCATCGTGGCTACTTCGTGTTCAAAGTGTGTCCGAACAACGACGTCAACCGTATGGCCACCCACGAATGCCTGGATGAATATGCCTTGGAATTGGCCGACGGATCCGGAACGAAGTATTATATCGACGATCGGTTAGGAAATTATGATATCGATTTAACGCTACCCGAGGATTTAGTTTGTAGCCAATGCGTTCTGCAATGGATGTACCGTTGCGGTAAGTATGAATGTGTTGACATGGGTTATTCCCCTTGTGGCTAGCATAAATGGATGTCGGTTGGTGGGACTTCACAGATTCAGTATCCCTTTTCAATGAGGCACTGTTCTATCACACCCTAGAAGGCAATGCCCACTAATCCCCCTCCCCCCACCCTCTCGGTGTCAATAAAATGTATGGTATCCATTGCAGGTAACAATCACGGCACTGCTGAAAATGGAACCTCATGTCTGGGTTGCGGCCCTCAAGAAGAGTTTTACGCTTGTTCCGATATTGAGATATTGGCTAGTGGCGGTCAGCCTGTAAGCCAAACACCCGTTGCCGTAAGCCCAACACCCCTTACCGTAAGCCAAACACCCCTTACCGTAAGCCAAACACCCGTTGCCATAAGTCAAACAACTACTGATGACGATCAGACGAAAGACGTAGTGAGCCAAACTACAAACCAAAACGACCAAACGCATGCACCAACGGAAGATCCAACGGACGACTCACCGCCAATGAATACGAACTGTTATGCGACAGACCGTTTCAGAACAGTCGAGCCCAAGGCCGATATGCTCTGCAAAAACAATTGTTTGATGGGATTTTGCCCTAAGACCATGTGCAAATGCCTGGACGATGACCTGCCCACCGAAAATTGCGTTGCTAATGGCAGATACCAAGGTGATGCAAACATAGACATTTGGTGCCGCATAAATTGTGGACTTGGATTTTGTCCTGTATCTCATTGCATTTGTACTCCGGCCTAAAAGAATTCTTTTTGTGAGTTACTTATTAGCGTGTAGGGTTTTAGATTAAATTATTGTTTTATCGAATGATGAAACCATCTGTACTACTATATGCCATTTACTTGTGCCGTCTTGTGTTGAAGTGGGCATTTTCGTTAAAACAATCTCTATGTGACGTAATCTCAGCTAAGCTACGTCACGAATCCCATATCCAAAAGATTTACATGTCATCTAGTAATACGTACTCCCTAATTAGTAAGGTCACAAATCCCTTATGCATTTCCTTTTGACTACTGTATATTGCACATTGGCCAGGGAAAATACAGTAAAGAACACCGTTTTAAAAATGGTTCCAATGTTATTTCAGTTATAGTGACGTCACAAAACCTCCTATACATAACGTAATTTCTGCACAGCAACGTTGCACATTGGCCAGAAAAATACAGTGAAGTACGCCTTTAAGCTTTGAAAGTAGAAGTATTATGATTTCCTACTTAATTTCCGGATTAATGACGTCATGAATCCTCTGATGCATAACGTAATTTCCATTTCAAACTTCTGCATAGTCACGAATACCCTATGTATAACGCATCTTCCTTTCAAACTACATAGTAATAGTACTATAAGGAAGTATTTTGGTGTAGTACACTAGCAATAGGCCTATACAATATGTATATAGCTAGTCGGCCATGTTATTTCCGGTTTAGTGACGTCATAAATCCCATATGCATAACGCATCTTTTAAACATCTGCATAGTAATAGTAATATAAACTATAGTAAGTGAAAGAGGAAGTATTTTGATGTACTAGCAACAGGCCTATACTATATGTTTCTAGTTGGTCGGTCGTGTCGTTCCGCTATCTATTATTGGCTCGGGTATTTCTCTATACGTAAATAAACATGGCCGCTTTGACTACTTCGTGAGATATTTATCGATTCGACAAGACGTCTTAATGGCGAATTCATTGACTCAATAGTGGTTACGAGAAATGATCGACATTCAAGGTAACTATGGAATTTCTTTTGTTTTGGTTTAGGGTCTGGGTGAACTAAACGTCAGCAGGATGTCGAGCTAACCCTAGCTGTGATAACCAATGTATTTTAGGGCGTACCTTAATGCATGATTCACATAGCATCCGCATTTGAGCATATTTTAGGGAAACGTGTGGTTTATGTGCACTTCATTTCACTGTTCTGTGCTATTTTTAGTAATTCGCAGTGTTGTCAACATGGAATAGCCCTTATTCGTTCATATTTTAAACAAAATATTCGCACCCCCCTCCCTCCCCCCCCTCATTATCTCTTGTAATGCGTCCCTCTTTGTGGAATTAATATTACCCCGTTCTTATCGCGATTTCGTTTCATTCATTCGCCGACATCGTCTTTCTCTATTCAATGCAATAGATTTTAATTAATTGCTGCCCTTGCCAGCTGTGGCTCATTCAAATTCATTCCTCTAAGTCATTGCTTCTACTCCCTCTACCGTCGATAGTATCTAAAGAACATTGCCAGGAACTGTGTCTGTAGCAGAACCTTTTTCACAGACCCATGAAATGAAAATACTCCTGACTCCCCTCCCCCCTTCCCTACCAGACCCTACCTCGTTGTACAAGTATTAAGTATGGCATTCATTTGTGCTATAACACTCAAACCAACCATACGTTCAAACTTGCTTGTTATCGGATCTAGCCTTACACCCTCCCAACACAAAAAGAGCTATCCCACTACAAGGGCACCCCCCCCCCCCCCCCAATCCTCTCCCCTTGTACTGGACATATTCACTATTTTGAAAAAACTATTGAACGGCTACCTTTAGCCGAATTGAGAACTGGGATTCTGTCCTTTTGGCACCTTTTTTCCATACTTTGGCTCTTTTTTTTCCACATTTTTGCTTTTTTTCCCCACATTTTGGCTCCCTTTTCTCATAATTTGGCCCCTTTTTTCCACTTGTTGGCTTTTTCCCCACATTTTGGCTCCCTTTTCTCATAATTTGGCCCCTTTTTTCCACTTGTTGGCTTTTTCCCCACATTTTGGCTCTTATTACAGCTAATAATGAGACGTGAATAAATTGTGACGCCAAAAATGAACTGTAGGGGATAAGATATTAATTTTTTTTTAAATTAGTAAAAAAATTTATGTGTAATAATGGATCTTTGTTAAAAACTGATATAGTACACACCCAATAGACTAACATTCGTGATCATTTGAAATATGATAATTATCTTGTTTTACAATGAGTAATATTTTATAAGTATTATGGGTGAAAACCGACACTGGGCCGACTCTCGAAAGCACAAGCACAGGCATCAGAATTTTTTCTATCAGACGACAATCCCTCGTTATCAAGTAGGATTGAGCAGGATTCGAACCCACGGCACCTAATCGCCTAACAGACGACAATCCAACAAGCAAGCAACTTATTGAGGACGATTCGGGATGTTTGTTTTTTTTTCTTTACTTCCTGCTATCGCGTGACTTGTCCAACATAAGCTAGTACTTTTAGTTCAAAGTTATAAGGTCGCTTAATAATTTTTTTACTCTATACCCTCTACGTCAATTGAATATTTACAATCTATAATATTCTTAGAAAGAGTTTGGCAAAAAACGTTTGAAATGACGCCTGTTGAATTTGAATAAAGACTTTTCAACCAAGTATAATGGGTTCTTTACACCTCCATTTGAATACTAAGAAATTTTAATTTTAAATTTAAGCCCACTTCAATAAATTCATTGTGCGGTTAAACTGGCTCTATATCAAACATTGTAAAAAAAAATGGGTTAGGTCTGAGTCATAATCAAAAAAGCTTCGAATATGAAGGCGTTTGCGATCGTCATAAAACTGGAAGTTTTTTAGTGTCACAGACGTCTGACCAAACATTGGAATGGTACAAATCGATGCTGTCAGAGTCATCAATACAAATAAAATCTTTAGAAAACTTCTTTACAATATTACAATAGGATATCTTTAAGCGTCAATGGTATTTGCGGTAGTGATGTCATAATCCGCCAAGTTTGCGAGAAATACAGACACCACAACTGTCGGTAGGACGCCACTTTAATGGATTTTTTTTTCTTTTTCAGAGTGACAGGGTAATCCAAGATGGCGCAGCGAGCAGTCACGTGGCATCAACAATATATGAACACACTGTCATCTGGCTTGGAGAGGTTGATGTCGAGCCATGCCCATTCCGATACCACCATTGATGTCGAAGGACGTTCATTTAAATGTCATCGTGCTATTTTAGCCGCCATGTCGCCATATTTTGACGCCATGTTTTCTTCGGGCATGCGCGAAAGCATCACAGGTGACGTATCAATTCATGGGATTTCGGCAGACATCTTTGGATCTATTGTGAACTACATTTATTCCGGATATGACATCGTGAACGAGGAAAATGCCTTACAAGTTCTTCATGCCTCGGCTCTGCTCCAAATCGAATGCCTCATGAAACGAAGTGAGGATTTCGTCTGCAGAAAAATCACCGATGCGAATTGTGTGGAAGCATACAGAAAAGCAATGGTGCTGAATTGTGCGCAACTGAAGCAAAAGTCGAAAGAAAGGATTCTCTCCAATTTTGTGTCACTGTGCGAATCGTCAGAGTTTTACCAAATGGACGCAGACGAAATGGCGATGGTGGTCAAGGAAGACAACCTTGAATGTCCGAGTGAAGAGTATGTCTGCGACCGAGTTGTGGATTGGGTCGAATATGACCTGGAAAACCGCGAAAAAGATTTGAAAAACATTTTCACGCATCTGCGTCTTTCTTTAGTAAAATCGGAATACATCGTTGACGTGCTGGAAAAACGAGACTTTATCAAAAAGAATGCCGATTGTGTTAAGATCATAGACGAAGCGAAGAACTTCCAGTTGCTTCCGTCCCGACGCCACGATTTCAGTTCCGTTTACAAGTTGTACAGAAAAACCTCAACCAAGGAAGACGTTCTCGTGCTGATTTCAGGGGGCGAAACTCCTAAACCACCATACGTCCGATCCAAGGACGTTCTTGCCTACAGTTCTCAGAAACATGCGTGGTTTCATTTGGCTCAACTTCCTTACGATCCTGGCATAGAATTTGCCACTTGCGTCTACGACAACGATATATTTGTGTCCGGTGGTGGCGCAAGGCCTAGGTGTTTCTTGCGATACCGTGCAAAGAAGAACAAGTGGTCGCAACGCGGACCGGAACTGAATTTTGGTCGTCGACGTCATGCTATGGTTGCTATGGGCTCCAGGTTGTATGTGGTTGGTGGATTTAACAGCGAGAGACCGGAAGGAGATAAAGTGTTGGATGTGATAGAAGAATATACTCTCGAGGACAATGCATGGCGGGAAGTGGCTAAGTTAGCAGTTCCAGTGAGCTCTGTGTCGGCTGCCGCTCTCAAGGACAAAATTTTCATATTCGGTGGCGAAACAAATACCAAATCGGACACGAATTCGATACAGTGTTACGACACGAATTTAAAATGCACGACCATAATAGGTGAACTTCCGATGACATGCAAATTAACTAGGTCGGTAGTGTGCGACGATCAAATATACATTGTATTGTTTGACGGACAGATTTTGCGATTCTGCGATGGCGAAAATAGTGAACTGGTTTCTAGGATACCAAAATTCGAACGTGTTCACTTCGGTTTGCTTCATTTACAAGGGTATCTGTATATAATGGGAGGGCAGTACGTTTCCGGTCCGGACTCCCGAGCGCTGTGCGACCTTATTGGACGTTTCGACACTCGAACGAACACATACTGCCAGTTAAGCGAAAGGTTACCCTCTGCAAGATTGCTAGACAGTTGTGCTAAAATTTCAGTTGAGAAGAAGTTTCTTATTGAGGAGCATCTCGATGAATAGCGAAACCCTTTCATTATGGACTTGCCCCACTAATTCATTTGCCTGTTTCCATGTTAAAACGAAATTCAACTTTATCCAGAAATCTCGTTGAAAACTTTCCAATATGTCGCATGAAAGCATGGCCAATGTTTCTGGACTAAAATCCAATCACTCAGCGAAAAGGGAACAAACTCCATGTTTTATATTTTTATATACAAACTCATTTGTGTTGAAATACACCCACATTCAAACGCATCCATATTAACAATAGCCGCCACATTTATATCAGACTCATCGCGTCAAATAGTCTAACCTTTTCAATATTCGAACTATATGAAATATTGAGATTTTTGGAGACCGTATCAATTCATCTCAACTCATCCCGGTAAAAAGAACAACCTTCCCACGATATGACAACCATGAAACTTTTAATGTTACTCATCAAGGCAAATAGTAAATGCATTCCAAGATGTCATACAAACGCTCATTGTTTATTCTTTATAAGACCTATTTCGAAGTTTAGTGAAACCACCCTACCAAACGAGAGCTCATTTTTTGTTTATTTTGTGATTTTTTATGTATATTTTATATAAGGACGCACCTTGGTCAATAGTGCAACCCATCATGCCAAACGCCAACCACTTTTTACCAACATTCTTTCTATTTTTATATATTAAAATTCATTTCAACGAATAGTGCAACCTATTGAAAATTGCGCTTAAGGGGCTCCGTAGCAACCCAATCCTACTTGTAGACTTCAAGAAGGCGATTTTGTTGGCCTAATTTTGCTTTCATATAAATGCAGCCAGTGCTATAGTGACTGTCTAAAAACGAAAAAATAACTCACATATGTCGAAAAGAACCACCAATTTTACATTTTTGACATATTTTCTTTTTCTCATTGAATTTTTCAAGAACAACCTAAATGCCAAAATGTACCCAAATGCATTCAAATGAACTAAATAAATTTCATGCCTTGAATTTTATGTAAAAACAACTTTTGATAAAGACGCTTTATGTAGACATAATAGTTATTCTACGGCCCCACGCCCGTAGCTAACCCAAAGCTTCTGGGGTGGGAGACTCGTGTGTGTGTGTGTGTGTTGTTGGGGGGTTTGTGGCTGATTATGTGGTTCCAATGGTCAGTAAAACACATATGTCATAACATATCCTGCGCCCGTACACTGCGCTTGTAACTTCGTTAGTTAAAAGTTTCCAAAAGGGGACGTCAAATCATCTTTCTCCACAAACCAGGCCTGTAGCTGTAGAAGGCACCACCCGAAAAATGGCTTCCCCCCCGAGAGAATTCCATTACTGAAACTAAACACCATTGCCTCTACTGATATATTACTTGTTCCTCCAAAGAATCAAGTCTGGTTGCGAGCCTACGCCAACCTAATATTTCTAGCACGATCAAAGCAACCATCTGACTAAAAATATTCAAACCTCGACCGACAACAACAGTTTATGAACTGCAAATTGCACGAATATAAAAAGGTTTTACCAACAACAATACGTTATTTTCGTCGTCGAAATCAGTTGAGATGGGAAATAACTCATGTTGTCGTATTGAGAGTTCAGACCACAATTAAACGATTGACTTTTTATGGGCTGTCCGATTATAATAATTAATTTAATTTCTCTCAATTTTTACAAGCGTCTAACATTCTTTGGTGGAAAAGTGAAAATTGCCAAACAAACAAACAAGTTTTATGCTTCCAATAAAACAATGGAATTTGAAAAAGTGACAAAGACTTTACGTAAACAAAGACATAACTTGTAAATTCTGCATACATTGTGAAATATGCCACTTTCTCTTCCTGCCCAGCTTGCATGACGCTGGGGGACCTTTGTTCTCCGATTTACACCATGACGCTTAGGGATAAAAACCTCTGCCCTCGAGTACACACGTCGTACAATGGATGGACCGAACAATGGAGCTTAGTTTTAGAATTTAAAGGGAAGGATCAGGGAACAAAGAGAAAATAATATTTTACTTGAATGGTATAAAATTAAAGGGAGTTATAGCGAAAAGCAGTCATCGAAAGCACTGGCTTTGGCGTCTAAAATAATTATACAAATGATGCGAAATTCGAACCTACAGATTAGACTATTTTGAAATAAATGGAGCTATAGCCTACACCTCTAATTAGCCACAAGTCGGATTGAGGAATCCCCTACAAATATTCAGAAAAATTAACATCAAAAACACTGCCAATGCCGTCTTAAATTGTCCTTTCCAACGGAATTCCAACTGAATTTAATTGTTGGGTAGATTTTTGTAAAAATTTTAAATTCTTTTAGTAAGTGGAATTGCCCCTTTAACTAGCTACAAGTCGCATTCAGAAATCCCTAAAATACTTCAGAAGGGTCAAACAAAGGAACTAAATTGAAAGGGATCGGTTGAATAGGTCGCAAAAAAGCCAATAAACCGTTATCTTTGATTGGGGAGTTTTGCTTTGTGACTCGATCTTGGTAAATTAGTGAGGCATTTAGGAATCGTGTTTTTGGAATGAGCTCCATCGTCAGTTAATCTGTTGCTGTTTAGAGCTTTTGGTAGGATACGAAAAGTCAGTACTGTTTGTTATAAAAATATGTGCGTTTTAGGTAGAAAACCAAACGGATTGTTACTGTTTCAAGAAGATGCTTGTCTTTCTTGAACACCTGCTGTCACTTTGCTACCTGGTTTGTCAACTCGTTTCTATTTTGAAATGTCTACATAGTTAGAATTTGCTAGCATTGTGGTATTCAAACAGCGACTTCAATACCACAGGATTTGTCAACTCGGGTCCATTTTAGAGAGTCCACGAGGAAGTCTACCCTTCCAAGACACCCATCTACAATTCTCTTTTGGAGCGTCTACAGGGCTGAATTTGGTATTTTTATGATATGTTGTACTTACAATATATACATGAACTATTAAGAGAGATCGGCATTTTTATTAAAAGTTTTATTGGAATCACAAGCATTAAGCCGTGAAGTTTCGAATGAGAAACTGAATTTTCATTTTATGTTATATATTATAAGCTGTTGGCAATACCATTGCTTTGTCTTAGTTTCATTCGCAATATCTGTGTACTGTTATGTGTACGAACTGGGTTCCTTATATTGTATTCCATTGGATTGTGACTCTGTTTGTGTATTTTAGGCTGGATCAGTTTTATTCTATTGCCGCCTAATGCAAATGTGGATTATGGTTATAATGTTACGTAAGTAAAACGTCCGAGTTTCGGAATCGCAACGCAACAGATATCGCGTAACGCGTGAAGTTTTAAGACATCAAACGAAGTACGAAACTATCTCGTCGGTTGTAAACGTCAAGCCAAAACAAAAATCGATCGACAGCTACAAATTCACGTATAACAAGCCTATTAAATATAGCTGAAAATAAAAGTAGACATTTCTGCGTGGCATTTGGTTAAAGGAATTGGAATTTAAAAATTGCGTTTATTTTTGCCGCTATCGTTCTTACCGATCAAAGTAGAAATGGTTTTTACAAAGTTTTTTAAGTGTCGAGTCGAAAAATCAATTTCAAGGTAAAAACAGATACAAATTGCCATTCAGAGGCGTAGCAAGTGATAGGACAGTTACGATTTTTATCTGGGTCGTTAAGTCGCCTGCGGCGGCTACATCGTATATCGGACCGTTTAAATTACAACTGGGTCAAAAGAAAGTACTTTTGTAATACATTTGGATTTTTTTTTACCGTGCTACTTTGGAATTTTGTGCACTACGTCGTTACGGTGTGCGGACTAGCTGTCGGATTTGACTGCGTATACGACATTGCCGTCCAATCGCTTGTAAGTTGTGAATGTAACTGATAATAAAATTGCCATTCGTTACTTTGTGAATATATTGTAGATAGATTGAATAAGATAAAAAAAAAAAAAGTTTTCTCACTAGAATATACCGATGTCGTACGGATACATTACGCCTCCGGCAACGTTGTGTTCTGCCTAACAGGTCACACGCGTGTATAGTCGAGTTCGGAGATAAAATTGTGTTCGGATTTAATTCACGAAACTTTGACGGCTTATTAGTGGATGTTACAACTTGCAGTGTCGTTTCTTACGGCCTGCGGCTACGTCGTGCAGAAGTTTACCTAATGCGTGACTGAAGTACGTCTTTCGTACATTAGTAGGCTCGTGTGGGACGTTGTGTTCGTTGAGTCTTAAAGAATTGCAGGAACTTTATAAGAATTATATAGGAAAATAAAAATTCCTCGGATGTGAAGTATTCTATTGCTTATCTGCTTTTCTGCATTTCTGCCGTTCTTAACAGCTGAAGTGTAAAAGTTTAGAAACGTTGTGTCGAGGTCCAAACTCGAACTCTACTTAACTAAACATCATAAAATAGGTCACAGTCAAATGTGTATAACATTGTGTACAGTGAAAATCCGCTTAAACGGATTCATAGTTACTTTTCAAAGATGGGATCGGATATAAATTTTTACTAATTGTTATTAATTGTAAGAATTGTTACCATATAACGGATATTGCTAATATTAAGCCGGATTGAAATTTGAGTTCCCGAAAGTTTATAAGCTATATTTATCTACACCATGCTATAGGCGACATTACTGTCTTTATTTGTTTTAGCCCACTCAAGGGTAAAATACACAAAATTCGACGACATTTTTCAGTGTGTTGAAGGAAATTTTCGGCGATTTTCTTCGGATTTACGCCTTTATTGGAATCGGATATATAATGCCAAAATTAGGTAAGTGTACATTTCTTGAAATTTTGCCTTTTTGAGAACTTTTGAGAAAGTTTCCGTCGAATGATGTCACAATGTCGATGTCATTGATGTAGATGGGATAGTTTCGAAACATGACGAATTTCACAATTTCAATTTTAGATCCTTGTTGAAAATTCTGACATTTCTTCTTGTCTTGGAGAGGGTAAGTCGCCATTTTTTTAGAGGTGATCTTTAGGGATCTGAAACTGTTCCCCTTGGAGAAGATTCAAACTTTGGATTTATTTTTGAAACACTTTTTTCATTACTTGTGACTTGTGAAAGAG